AAGTTTTAGATTTGCGTGGTTTTTTTTTTAGTTGCAAAATCCACTTGAACATGACGCTAGTTTTTTCGAAGTTTCTCAAAAACCACTCGAGCCACAGAATTTGTTTTGGCATCGTTGGATAGAGAATTGAAGGGGGGGTCATGACCCCCCTGACCCTCCCCTTGGATCCGCCCTTGGATCCGCCCTTGGTCTGTAGCCTGATTGAGAGAAGGGAGAGAATGGAACACCATCAAGCCAGGAAAAGTGTCTTCGAAGCGGCGGAAATGCTACAAAGCCGCAAAGTCAAAGTGTAGAAAAGGTGCTCTTACCTTTTTGGTGGAAAGCCTTATCGCAGATGTGGCAGCGATGCGGTTTCACCCCTGTATGCGTTTTACTATGGGAAATCAAGGTGGAAACTCGATTGAAGTTTTTGTTGCACACCCGGCACACGTAGGGCCGCGCCGAGGAGTGAATAGCCCTGTGCTGAGACAAGGTGGACATCTGACGAAACGCTGTAAAAAAAGAGAAAGTTGAAAACCAGAATTTCCTCCTGACGTTTCGCCAGCACGATTTGGTTGCATCCTCAATGGCCCTGGTTTCACGCAACAAATATTCGCAAAAGTGCCTTTAAAGCACCACCGAGGAAGCAACGTACCTGTGCTTGTAAAAATTTATCTTAAAATAAAACAACGGTCTTTACGTACATTTTCCGCAAGTGAGACAATGAAACTTCCTCTCGTCTGTATGGGTGGGCAAGTGGCGCATCAGGGTGTACTGATGCCCGAACTCTTTGCCGCCTGAAAAAGGCGCACATAAAAGCCACTGAACAGGCAAAAAAGCGCAATTTCTTACACACTCCGCATTGGAAAACTCTGCTGCATTTCCCATCCTGTTCCTTGTACTTTGTTTTGGAAAATATCAAAGACGAGTCCTTCTTACTGGGCGCAGCGCTGGAGGACTCCAAGTTGCTTGGGATCATTTCTTGAATATTAGCTATGGAAAGTAAACGGTGTTTAATCGCTAAAACGCCTTCAAAACGTCTGGGGTTTACCAGTAGTTGATGCGCCCCCATCAGCAGCTGCATCAAGGATTTGAAAATTCGGGTCGTCGTCCAAATGCCCGAATTGAGAGAAGAATATAATGTCGGAGTCTTTGATCTGGTCATCCTTAATCAACCTGCAAAAAAGTCCAGTTTTATCCAATTGATAACGTAGCTGAGCGGCTGGGAATTCTTGAAATGGGCTATAACTCCCATCCAATTCAAGATTTTAAATACATGTAAAGAATCAGGCCCATAGTGTTATAACGACGGGCCAAAAGTGCTGTCGCCCAACTATTTGAAGAGAAACGCGCCTAAAAGATTGACAATTTGGAACGCAGCACTTGGGCAAGTTTGCGCGCGGACTCTCTTGCCAGACTTTCAGCGCATGTGAAGTGGCTCTGAACGTCATGTGTCAGAAAAAAGTTGAATCGTGTTCTTTTTGTTAAAAATTGAATAAAATCCCGCTAAATAAATGCAACTCACTCGTCGTTCTGGATACCGTCGATTAATCCTTGCAGGCAGTCGACTTCAGTGCGCGTAAACGACTCAGAGTCCATTTTCTGGGCGGATTTATGAGCCGCCTCAATGTCCGGTTGCTACAGAAAAGCCAACGCTCAGATGGTGACCGCTGTAACCCGGATTTTTACTCAGCTACCAGGTATTTGATAGTTATTTAACTGGGGTTTGTTGCTGATTGTTCTTCTACGAGTTTGCAGCCTGATAATTGACATTATTTTGAATTTCTTGGGAAAATCTACATATTTTTGAAAGCTCCGAAACTGTCATGGCCGCTTGAGACTTGAGGCGGTTTCTTCCGGGGAAAAACCGTAAATTTTTTTATTGCTTTGGATCAAGAAACAGTGCTTTATTTTTATTAAATCCCAATAATAAAAAAAATATAAAATTTAGCAGTTTTCACTAAATTGCGCCATTGAAACAGGAACAAAAATGTTTTGCCATTACTACTGGATTATTCTTCAACGTTGTCGCTTTGCCGGACTGCAGCCACCGACAACGGATTGACGAATCGCAAGCGCCTAACCTCAATAAACTGTTCAATGTTGATTTTAAAATGTACACAATTTATTTTTTAAAACAATGCAAACTGTGCAGGAGGAATGTCGCTGTAATTGGGGCCATTGGCAGGAGCAGGCAGTTTTCAACAAATAATCCCCAGCGGATAAATGGTATGCAACTGTGGTAATTCCAGTTTTAGCTATTTTCGCCGCTTTCGCTCAATTAGCTTGTTTAAAACCCCTGCAAACAGCTTCAGCTTAGCCAAACTCAGATAATACCGCAAACAAACAGCTCTATAGGGCGCTTACTGCAAATCGCTGGGGTTTATATCGAAATCATACAGCGCGTGTTTTGCAGTTTAGATGGCACAATCAGGGCTGAAACTGTGTCTTTAGACACCCTGGAGCACCTTCTTAACGTATACAACAACTTCCATTTAAATTTCGTAGAGTTATCCAGCGCCTACAACCCCCACGAGCTGGAAAAGGCCCATTTCAACGCAGACTACTTCCCGCCGAAATCAGCCCTTTGCCGCCAGCCGTTTAGCTTGATTCTGCCGCCCCCCAATATAACCGGGACATTGCACTTGGGGCATGCCCTTACTGTGTCCATCCAGGACGCCCTAGTCAAATGGTAATCCCCCATCAAGCCCCATTTTTGCCCTAAACTATTGGCTTGCAGGCACAAAATGCAGGGACGCGAAGTTATGTGGGTGCCCGGGCTGGACCATGCAGGAATCGCTACTCAAGTGGTGGTTGAGAAAAAGCTGTGGAAGGAGCGGGGGCTGACGCGCCATCAACTAGGCAGGGAGCGCTTTGAGGAGGAGATTTGGAAATGGAAGCAAGAAAAATCCACTACTATAAGTAGGTTTAGTTGACCAGCCAGTTTGAAGGCTTGCTGATTGGTTTTAGTTGAGCAATTGAGGAGAATTAACGTGGATCTCAGTTGGGACAGAGAAGCTTTCACTATGGACGCGAAGCGCTCGAAAGCAGTCACAGAGGCGTTCATCCGGCTGTTTGAGCAGGGGCTGATTTACCGGGCAGACCATCTAGTGAACTGGTCCTGCACCCTACAGTCGGCGGTTTCGGATATTGAGGTGGATCGCGTCCGAGTGGAGGCTGCAACCGACTTTAGAGTGCCCGGATATGAGAAGCCGGTTAAATTTGGAGTCCTCACCAAGTTTGCGTATAAACTATCCGAATCACTTGGTGGGTTTCATCCAGGCCGGTTGGCTGGTGGACTGAGCCGTGCTGTTGTTTTTAGAGGAAATTGTGGTGGCAACCACTCGCCCCGAGACCATTCTAGGCGATGTAGCTGTGGCGGTTAATCCCCAAGACTCGCGTTATGCACATTTCGTGGGCAAACGGCTTCAGCACCCGTTTAGACCCGACCTGATTCCGGTCATTGCTGACAATATGGTGGATCCGCTCTTTGGGACTGGTGCGTTAGACGTGGGGGACTGGAGCGTTTTAAGCATATCTTGTGGTTGCAGGTGCAGTGAAAATCACTCCAGCTCACGATCCAGACGATTTCCTGACGGGAAAGCGGCACAATCTCCGGTTTCTTGCAGTAATAGACGAACAGGGCCAGCTAACGGACAGCTGTGGAGCTTTCCAGGGTTTGCGGCGTTTCGACGCCCGGGAGGTCATCATTGGGGCCCTGATGGAAAAGGGCTTATACAAAGGCAGTCAGGAGCACAGCATGGCTGTACCGATTTGCAGGTGAAGCAATTTCCGGTGAAAAAACGTGCTAGGACTAAACGGGGGCGTTTGTCTTCACAGCCGCTCCAAGGATGTGATTGAGTTCCTCATCAAGCCCCAGTGGTTTCTGGACTGTTCCCAAATGTCCCAGAAGGCTTTAGCCAACGTCGGCGACGGCACCCTGCAGATTGAGCCGGAGAATTTCGAAAAAACCTGGTCCCAGTGGCTGGAGAATATTAGGTGATAAACATTTTTTCGCGCATTGGTTTTTTCATACATTTTTGTTGATGTTTGAAAGGGATTGGTGCATTTCAAGGCAGCTTTGGTGGGGCCACCGCATTCCCGCCTACTCCTGCAGTGTGAACGGGAACAATCATGTTTGGGTGGCCGCCCAAGATGCCGATGCGGCAAAGGAAAAGGCTGCAAGACTGCTCAACTGCCGTCCTGCTGACGTGGAATCTAAACAGGATGAGGACGTGCTGGACACGTGGTTTTCGTCGGCTTTGCAGCCGTTTGCAGTGTTTGGGTGGCCTGAGCAGGTAAGGGATTTTTCGGCGTTGTTTGAGGGCGATTCTGAATGCGTTTTTTCCGCAAAAGACTGCTGATTTGGACAAGTACTACCCGCTGTCGCTGATGGAGACTGGCCACGACATTTTGTTCTTTTGGGTGGCTAGGATGGTCATGTTAGGGACGCATTTAACTGGTGAATTTTTCCCAACAGTGAATGAATTGATGGACGTTTTGATATTTTTTCGGTGTTTTAGGTCAGTTGCCGTTCAAAAAAGTGCTCCTGCATGGGGTGATCTGCGACGCTCATGGCCGGAAGATGTCTAAGAGCTTGGGGAACGTGATCGCTCCGGAAGAAGTCATCGATGGGGTCACTTTGGAAGTAGGTGGGTGATCTTGATATCAACCCGTCTTTAAGGGAGAGTTTTTAGCAACTGGGGCTCATTTTGGAGCAGAATTACCGGACTGGCATTTTGTCCGAAGCAGAACTGAAGAAGGCGTCCGACGGCCAAAAGCGGATGTTTCCCAATGGCATTCCGCAGTGTGGGGCCGATGCGTTACGGTTCACCTTATTATCACACAATGTTAAAAGTAAGGGCAGAGCCATTGGGGCCATCCAGTGCAGTAAATGCGGTGCTTTCAGGTCATGTAATCAACTTCGACGTCAGCGAGTGCCACACGAACAAACTGTTCGGCAACAAGATCTGGCAAGCGACCAAATTCACGCTTCTTTGGACCGGCAAAGTGTCGGCGGCTCAAGGGGGCTTCGCCCACTGGGGCCCCAGTGTTGAGCTGGCGCCGATGGATCGATGGATTTTGAGTAAACTCACTCAAATGCTTCAGGCGATTGAGGGCGCGATGGAGGCGCATGAGTTTCATGGGGCCACGGCTGCTTTGAAGCAGTTCCTCTACTACGAGTTCTGCGATGTTTATTTGGTGAGTTGAGTGATTGTGCATTGTCATCATATTTTATTAACAGATCTGGTACGTCCTAGACGGTTAGGAGGTTTTTTGCATAACAAATATATTAGTTTCATAGCGATTTTTGCAAAAAATATTTTTTTAAAAGCAAAAAGCTTCCGCCGTGACAATGTTTTCACATTGCCGTGACCAGGATTCGAACCTGGGTTACTACGGCCACAACGTAGGGTCCTAACCACTAGACGATCACGGCTGTTGGAAGCATGCTTGGCAATGCAGCAACCGCGCTCTTATCGTTAGGCGCCTTGATTGGCTGATATGAATGCACAGGACCGGACTAGGCGTTCAATTTCTCCACACTGGTGCTTCTCGTTTTGAACACATCTATCGTTTTTCGGCAGGAAGCGGTGAAAAGCGACCTAAAAGAGCGCACTGCTGACCCACTAAGCTCCACTCATTGCAAAACGCTCCTCACATGTCTGGACCACAGTTTACGGGCGCTGTGGCCTTTCATGCCAATGCTCGCGCAGCATTTGCATCAGAACCTGCCCCTCCTGGACGATTTTGGCCTAAACACCCTCGTCCCAAAGGTAAGACCTTGTCCAATGCAGGGGCGGATCCAGCTTTAAAGTCAGGGAGGGGTTATGTAGGAAAATACAGTCTTCTGTTATCGATGAAATTAGAAAAATGATCGTCGTTTTGTGCAAGGGTGGCGCAAGATTATTGCAAAATTTCATGTTTTCCGTCCCGTTTTGCATGTTTCTCGGA